AATCTAAAGTCCACCAATATGTGACAGGTTAAATAATACTGTACATTTAAAACTGGAATACTGAAAAAAGAATAGAGGAGCTCTTTATGAACTGATATGGAAAGATCTCTAAGACATACTGTTAAGTTAAAAAAACAGGGTGCAGAATGGTGTGCATAAGAAGCTACGTTTTCTGTTACGAAGAGGGAAATAATCTTGTTGACTCGTATGCATATGAGACATTTAAGAGGAAACTAAGAACAGTATTTACCTGGAGATGGTATCAAAGACTGGATGGATAATCATCAAAGTGTTAGTAAATGATGAGAATACAAGTTATGAAAGAAGTCATAACAGTTTTCATTGCAATATTTTTCTCTGTAATATATTCATATTTTTAAATGCAAAATAAAGTTTTAAATGACTTTCCAGGAAGATGAACCAAGTGCATCTGTAGCTTTTTGTAGTTCAGAGGCACATGCCTATGAACACAGCAGCATTAAGGGGCGAGGGCGCTGGCTGTATAGGCCTTGCTCTCTGGTTAAACATTCGCTGCATCCCTTTAGGGACAAGCATTTGGCTCAGACTCCCTTAGACCAGTTCGGAAAATTCCAGGTGGCCTGAAGCATAGGAGTTAGCAAAGCAAAATGCAAGTGGTCAAGAATCATCAAAATGGGGTGGGGGCCACACACACTTTGCTTATTTAGCAGTAGGTAGCTACTAATAATGTCATCCTGGGCATAGCCACACATTCCAGAAAATAATTTCTTCTGGAAGAACTTTTGGGGTTATTCCAATGAAAGCAGTTTCTTGAGAGCTTTTAAAAACAAAAACCTTTGGATGGTGTTTAAAGTTAAAAAATATGAAACACATTCCAGAAAAAAGAACATAAATCAAATTATCTGATATTATGAGTAATTTTTAAGTACGCATGCTACAACCACTGACCTCAAGAAATATACCAATGCTATCCCCTCAGAAGCACTCTTAAGTGTCCCTTTTTGATCACACCACCTTCCCTCCTGTGAGAGAGAACATGAAAGTGACAAGTGACAACCTCACTTTCATGGTAACTGCTTCTTGGCTTGCATTTATAGTTTGACCACCTACTTATGTATTCCTGAAAATGTAATTTCATTTTGCTTGTTCTAGAACTTTGCTTATAAGAGCCATCCATGTTGCATGGAGCTACATTTTATTTATTTTATTAGCTGTATAGTATTCCATCTCATGCTTGTACCAAACTTTTTATCCATTTTATTGATGATAGACGTTTGAAATATCTCCATTTTGGGGCATTGATTTGAGCATTATGTTTTACATATTTAGGTGTATATGTGCATGAGTATTTTTAGGGTAATTACCTCCAAGTGATATTTCTGAGATATAGGGTATGCGTAGCTTCTTCTTTTCTAGATACTACAAAAGTATTTTCTAATGTGATTAGCAATTTATACTTCTTTTAACAGTAGACAAAGTTTCTTATTTTTTCATTTCTTCACCAAAAGTTCAAAATACTTAGTTTTGTTGGACTTGCTTAACATTTGCTCATCTGATGGGTGTGTAGTAAGACCTCATTATAGTTTTAATTTGCATTTCACTAGTGACAAATGAAGTTGATTCCTCCTCATATATTTATTGGCCATTTGGATTTCTTTTGTGAGGCCCATGTTCAAAATTTTGCCCATGCTTTTGCTGGAGTGCCTATCTTTAATAGTGCTTAATTTAACTCACTATCAATAGTCTGGATGGTGAATGATCAGGGTTAGAGGTTCACCATGCAACCCAAAGGCATATGCCACAATCTCAGATATTTCACAAAATGTTTTATGTAATTAGCTGGCACTAATTATCTATCAGACAAATTGGGCCTAAGCATCTGTCCATCATGCAGTCAGCTGCCAGTGGACCCAGATCAATGAATGATGCTGACATCAGTAGCGACATTCACCATAGCCTTACCACATGCAGGACACTAGACTGAGCACTTCATGGGGTTATTTCACTCACTTTTCTTAATGCCTCTATGTGGAATGTACAGATGCTCCCAAACTTATGATGTGGCTACATCCCAATAAGCCCATCGTAAATTAAAAATATCCTAAGTTGAAAATGCATACAATACACCTAACCTATCTTAAATGTGCTCAGAACACTTACATTAGCCTATAGTTGGTCAAACTTATCTAACAGACAGCCTATTTATAATAAAGTGTTGAGTATCTCATGTAATTTATCGAATACTGTACTGAAAGTGAAGAACAGAATGGTTGTATGGGTATTCCAAGTGCCATTTCCACTGAATGTGTATCACTTTCACACAATACTAAAGTCGAAAAATCCTAAGAGGAACCATCGTAAATCAGGACCATTTATTAGGCTTATAGCCTTAAATTAATTGACCATGATGACTCAACTACAGAGTGATGGGCTGGGCATTCGTCCCTTAACTAACTCCAGAGCACATGCTCTTAACTTAATGATTATACTGCCTGAAGACAAAGGTTCCATCTGGTTTCAAATTTGGGATTATTGTGTACTGCGGAAATGGGCAATCATTAGTTTTAAAAAAAGAGAATATAATTAAGTACTTAGTTTAGACATGATAAAATTTAAGGTCCCTAAAAATATATCATAATGCATTATGAATGATACTGACCAAAAGAAAACAAGTTTGAATAAAGCTTTGCTGTGCACTTGACTTATGTTTCCATCACAGTCAATATGTGAATGACAAACATAGACTCTTTAGATTTAGTATTGTGTCAATAAACATGTTAAACATTTTGAATAGGTAAAATCAGATGCTCTTAAGCCAGACTCATTTTTTTAGGTTAAAATGATGAAATAAGCCATGATGGCAAACCCAATCGTGCCTCCAGTAGCAGCTACCCTAAACGCCCAAAGCAAGGAAACAAGAGAATCCCACACATTGTGTTCAGTCTCAAAGGGATTTTCTAGTTATTAATAAGTATAAAACACCAAAATGTTGCAAAAGTAAGACTCCAGACATTACAGTGTCTTGGACAAGACCCCAGATATCTGTAGGAAAATCAATCTTCATTTCCAAGTTAAACTTTAAATTTGTTGTAAGATTAAAAAGAATCTGAATATTTTGAAACAAAAGTTGTGGAAAGCTGATGAGACTTTGAAAAGATCAGGAGAACTAAGAACTGAGCTACAGCCCATACAGTCGGTGGTGGTTTCTGAAACAGTTTATATAACGAGCTTTAATTCAGAAGTAGTTTTTCTTCCCCCCTTTTGAGGAAAGCTTCTGGCTTGAACATGTGCACGGGTTCTGTACAGCTTGTAAAGCTGTGTTCTTTCTCCCACTGAGACCTTGCTCAGGCTTGTAGTTTCATTTGAAAGAATAATTTTCAATGTCTCCTTCTAGGCTGAACATTAATCCCCCCACTGGTTGATCGATTAAATCCCACTGTCTGTGTCTGGAAGGCAATGTCTGAGCTTTATGTATTGCTTTCTGGCAAGCTGCATTTCCATGCTCTATGGAGCAGATGCAGCAGTATAACTGTGTGCAACAGGCTTTCAAAACCCTCAAATCCTGGCGGAATGACAGGTAGAGTGTCTCATTTTAACATTTAATAAGTTTAAAGGCCTCATAATTACGCTGCTATCTGATGAGTTTCGTTCGTACCTTTGTATGGCATTTAATAGCTCACAAGGTGGAAAAACATTATCTCTTTTGATCATCACGACAATTGTTTATAGGAAACAGTGCTTTATTATCTTTCATTTCAATAACGAGGAGAAGCTGTGATCCTTGCCCACGGTCCCATGGCTAGTAACTGGCAACTTTGTGATAAAATCCAGATCTTCTGGTTCGAACATCAGTGTTCTTTTATGAGTCACATAAAAAACCCAAGATTGGAGAGCTATAGAGGGCTTTCAAAAGGATGCATGTTATCCTGTGCTCTGAGTCCAGAAAATTAATGGTAATACAAATATCACATCATTGCTCACTTGAGCAAAACAACACAAAGAATGAGCCATTTCAATGTTGCCTCCAGGGTAAGGGGAAAATTGCCAGGGTACTTTGAAAAACCCTAAATGTGATCAGCCAGGCCCTGCAAGATAAGCCTGCCCTGTAAGGGATTTGCAACTCATAAGCGCTCAGTGCATTGGCCTTGAATTCCCATGAGTTTCACAGGCATATGTCTTATTTCTCCAACTATAAAATCCTGGAAGTAGGTGTTTTGGTTTCATCTTCCGCAGAGGCAGATCCTGAGATCTTTATCTCAAGATCTTCAAGTGCAAATACCTTATTTGGGTACTTACTTACTTGAAGATGTGAAGATGTCAACATCTTCAAGTTCAAGTACCTTATTTGGGAGAAGAAAGAAACACCAGTAGGGAGGGAGGCAGTAGGACAGGAAAGGAGCCGGAACAGTGGCCAATAAAGAATGTATTATCGAGTCAGCTACCACTGGGGTGACTGAGCTTAATCTCCTGAGGAAACCTTGGACGCAGTAAGACACGAACCTCAGAGACATTCCTCCTGAGGGTTGAGGAGGTGAGTGTTCCTATGCCAACTTCCATCAGTCATTGTTGAGAGCTGCTGGGAGTGGGAGATAATCCCCCCATCTTCTGGCATGCTGTGCAGGAGGGCAGAATAGCATTCTGTAGCTTAGGAATAAGTTCCCAGGCAAAGAAATGCAGACACTGGCAGGGGAATGCCTCCGGTAAAGGGCCCAAGGGATGTGGCAAGGCACCCAAAGGATCTGCTTTATAACAGGATCTCGATCTTTTTTTTTTTTTTATCTTGTGCTGTTAAAGGGGATAGGATCTCGATCTTACATCTAAAAAAATCTCTAGTGTATAATAGTTCCCTGATAACTATGGATTTATCAGCCTGATATCAGGATGGATGTGAGAAATAGTTACATATGCACATTAAATCCTAGATAAAAAAAGAATATGTAAACAAAGAAAGAACAAGGGCCAGGGAAGGCACCCTGTATCACAGTAGCTTCAGAGCAGAGCGGGGAGTCATCTGTACTCACACTTTCTCGTAAATCTTGTTGGGATGCTCCGGCCATTCGATCATGCACACGACCCTGCTGGGCATGGTCTCTGTGGTTGAATAGTAGCCCTGGGGGAAGGCCAGCAGAAGAGCCAGGACCCAGATGACACAGATGACCACTTTTGTGGCTGTGGCTGACAGCCGGGGCTGGAGGGGATGAATGATGGCCATGTACCTGGAACAGAGATGAAAGGACAAAGTTCTGCTTTGGTCACCAAAATCTACATCAGTAATTATGTGTTTTTCCTATCAATGAAAAATTCCTAGAAATCCTTTGATGACAACTATTTTCCAATTATTTTTCTATATTCTATCCTTAAGCTTTATGACTTTTGATGTACAATGCTAAAATCCATAGGAAAAGTTAGCTAGATTTTTTTACAATTTCAGAACCCGTCTAGCCGCATTCCAGGAGAGGCATTTTAGTCATTGAAATGTACAAACTGGGGACATGGTGGCCAAACACAGGTCAGGAGCTCATGGTGAAATTAGAAAAATAAGGACGATGTTGTAAATTTATTCAATTTATATAAAGGTTTCCTTTTATCCTTTTGGGATTGCGGAATAAGGGTAATAGAAACAGTAGTTGTTCAGGTCCTTGTGTCACAATAAAAGGTCAACAATTCTACATCCGTCCATACAATTTGAGGGGAAGCGAATGTGTCTGTGTGAGAAAGCAGTGGCCTGAAGCCAGCAAAAAACAACAGCTTCTGGAGAGATCTTTATCAACTCTTTGAGCGTCTAGGAGTCAGTGTGTGGCTAACTACACATGCTTCATGAGAAGAAAGACAGTCTCCAGCTGCTGAGGCAGACACACTGGAACACATAAAAGGCCAGCGTAGATGACACCTCGTTGCAGGAAGGCAAAAGCGCAATGAATGACAGCTTCGAGCCTGGAGCCATCCCTCCATCCCCTCCCACCTGGGATCTGGCACTAAATGGTGTCATCTGAATGAGTGTGTCCATGTGTTTGAATTTGTGCACTGCTTCTGAGATGTCACGGAGATTTGAAGGATAATAAATATTTCAATCAGCATTTCATATCTGTTATAAGCACATCAATTCTGCCTCTTCCATTTTAAAAGACATTTCCCTATGCATATTTTCTTGCAGAGTTTATAGATCTATCCCTTAAAATATGCATCTTTTTCAGAGTAGGAATGATGTCTTATACAGCCTTTGGGGTTTAAATATTATCTAACAAAACCACAGAACCACACATTTGATTCTCTGACATGCAGGTTTTTCTGGCTTCTGTAGCACAGAATGGTCAATGGAGCCTTCAGAAACGTGCAGACGAATGCAGCACAGCTGTCAGCTGTCTCTACATAATTCCACATCATTTGTTTACTGTATTCTTTGGACTCCCAGGATCTCTGGGCCAGAACTCGAGCCAGGGTCACAAGTAAAGCAATTTTATTCACTACACGCTCAGCAAAGTCCCACTGGGCATCTGCTGCCGCACATAAGGCACAGCATTTCCTTCTGGGCTACGAGCTTCTGATTTCCCCCGGGAGAAGCAGTGCATCAATAAGCAGCCACAAAACATGACAGTAGGGTAAAGGGACCTCAGGTGCTAATCTGATCAACGTCTTACAGCCTTAGGGAAGCTGCAGAGGTGATTAAGTCTTGGGATGGCAGGCAGTCTATTGGAGGGGCTTAAGGAGGTGCATCGGGCTGGATTTGGGGAGAGACTGCTGAGCATCTTGCTCCAAGGGCAGGAAGTGTTCAGAGCCTTTTTCCTTACACGTGTTAGGTTTAAGCTCCGTTTTCACAAAGGCCTGGCTGGTTGTCCATTTATCATCCTAAACTTTGGAATACCTTTCTCTGCATTTTCGTGCTGGGGCCCTAGGCTTTCCTCCTCTGGTCTATAAGAACAAGGCTGCTGCAGGTGTTCAGGGTATGGCGTCTGGCTATTAGGAGGATGCGTCAGGTCAGCTTTTATATGTATACGAAGAAGTCACGATAACTCCCAGAAAGAAAACCCTCAGAAACTTCCTTTTGCCTCCTTGGGTAAGTGGGTAGGTGGTCGTAAAGTCAGGAGAGAATGGAATTAGGAAGAGGCTTAGAAAAGAAATTATGGTGGGGGTGAGTAGTATAAATCTTTTGGCAAGATTCCCTGGTTGGGTTGGTGGCTATAAAGCCCATCATACAAATGCTATGTCAAAAGGGCAAAACCAACTCTTAAATGTGGCAAATTGTGCATCCTCAGGAAATTGAGCAAAAAACCCACAAAAACAAAAACCCTGCAAAACCCAAAAATGTTGCACATCAAGCCTTCTTTGTCCTCCTTAGATTATCCCAAAGGGCCACTGCTACAGTCAAGAGAGGCCCAGGACACCATAGGCCAGATGACCTTACCTCTCTGGAGCGGTCTCCTGCAAAGAACCCTGAGAAGTCTTGATGTCCCTCCTGGACCTGTGTCTCTTTCGCTGCCTGACAGTGATGAAGCCTTGGTTTCCTCTCCAGTCGTGGGGTGGGGGTGGGTGGGGGAAACCCAGAATCGGAGCTGCTGGAGCTGGGCCTGTGCAACCATTAGCTTTACTTTCTTTCCAATTCGGTGGAGGGCTGGGCCTCCATGGTCATGGCCAGAATCTCTTTGAGTGTTTGCATTAAAATTGTAGGATGGCTTATTGGATTATTTCCCAAAGGCAAAATTGTTTTCCCTGACAAAGCTGGACATGCAGCCATGAAGATGCCTTATCTCACCTCCAGCAACCTCCAGCACTGCACATGCGCCAACCTTCACAGGCAGCTGTGCATCCGTAGGCTTCTTGGGAGCCTGAGGACGATGCACAGGGGAGAATGTGGTAATTGCATTGCCTTCTTTTAATATTATCTCAAATGCAAGATTTTAATTTGTTTCTAACTCAGGATAAATACCCAATCTTAAATAAACGAACGCTAACACCAATCCCCATGCCCAAATTGGTGATACACCATTCAGAATCTAGTATGACTGGGCTTAAGGGGGATTGCACTAGCATATTGGCACTGTAGCTGCAAATGGATGTCAGAAAGCCATATTTTATCTTTATTGCAAAAGTTGCAATTTGGGAACCCATTTCAGTTAACTCTCTGCTGTTCCTTGAGTGTAGGAGCCATTTTAGTGACAGATGAAAGTATTACCTACATACAATCAGAGAGAATAAAAAAGATTGGCTTTAAAAAATGTATACATTTTCATTTGTTAAAAACAAAGGTATTTATCTTCTTTGTTCCCTCCTTCCCTGCCTGCCCCTTTTTCCTTCCCTTCTTTCTTTCCTCCCTCCCTCCCTCCCTTTCTTCTTTCTGTCTTACAGTCCTCACTTCTGGGGCTTATTTAACATGCTTCTTTCTTATTTACCCGAAAGCTAGTACCATTAGGATAACTTGTACAGATGGATGAAGATTTTCTTTCCTACTCCCAATTCCTAGCTTGGATCCCATTAGCATACATTTATATATTTATCTGGAAGCACCCTGAACAATTCTTGCTTATTTAGTTACAAGATGTCACTGAGAAAATGCTGCAAGCCCTAGGAAAATACATTCAATAAATATTTATTGACTGCACTGTGCTCACAGGACTCTAAGGCAGTCAATGAAACAAACGTCTTTCCGGTTTACGCATTAATCATCGGGCTGCCAGGGACAGGGCTCCGGGGGCTGTGTGGGATGTGGATTACATTCTCCACTTCAGGGTGTTCCAGCCCCACAGAGGGCCATCAGCTCTGATTTGAATTGTATGTGCCCTCCCAAATACAAAACCTGAGGTATAGTCTTCCTCTTGTATGATCATGCTTTATAAAAAGAACTCTCTGCTGCATAGTCTTTTTTAGGTAGAGTAAAGGGATATTACTGTGCAAAAGAATTCTCATCTTCTGACTAGTAGCAATATCTTTATAACTTCCTCTTATATCAGCCCAGAATCACTGGACAGAGACAATGTCTCTCCTCCACCAGGAGAGGTGGCCTACCAGGAGAAGCCTACCTCCTTCTTCCACAGTCTTTCCCCTCCAAGTCCAAGCCCTGCCTTCCCTTATCCCCATTTGCTCCTGGGATGTTACAAGTTTCCTTTAAGGAACCACATCTTTCTGAGTTCAAATGACCAGGGGTGGTGACAGCTGAGAGGATGGCTGCTAATGTCTAGTTTAAGGGTTGGCGAACTTTTTCTGTGAAAACCAGATTTTAAATATTTTAAGCTTTGTGGCCCATATAGTTTCTGTTATGACTACCCAACTCTGCCTTTGTAGTGTGAAAACAGCCATAGACAGTAAGGAAACTATTGGGCATGACTATATGCCGATAAAACTTTATTTACAAAAATAGGAGGTGGGCTGAATTTGGCACCTGGGCTATAGTTTTCTGTCTCCAGGTCTAGTATATGGGAAGCGCAGAGCAGGGGGAATTAGAACCATAGGAGAGTATGGTGTAATCTTCAGAAACACTTTGCCTTCGACAGACTGAAGCTCATTGGGTAGATAAATCTTACAGCCCACAAGTGGTCAGCCAGGCAGTCCCTGGCAGCCCTGCTGTGAGCTAGGCTGAAGCCACGGCACTCTAGCCCAGGCGACAGAGCAAGACTGTGTCTCAAAAAAAAAAAAAAAAAAAATACATTTCTTCTAGCTATTTGAAAATATACAACAAATTTTTGTTGAGAGGATTTTGAATGTTCCCAATTCAAAGTAATGATAAATGTTTGAGGTGACAGATATGCTATTGACACTGATTTGATCATTACACACTGAATACATGTATCAAAAATCACTGTACCCCATAAATATGTACAATTAATGTGTCAATTAAAAATAATAAAATAAAATAAAACAAAACATTGTGAGAAATCTTTAAAAGAAAGATGTGTTTCTTATGGGGCCAAAACATCCATTTCTTTCTTTTTTTTTTTTTTTTGAGACAGAGTCTCATTTTGTTGCTCGGGCTAGAGCGCCGTGGCGTCAGCCTAGCTCACAGCAACCTCAAACTCCTGGGCTCAAGTGATCCTCCTGCCTCAGCCTCCCAGGTAGTTGGGCCTACAGGCACGCGTCACTGTGCCCGGCTAATTTTTTCTATTTTTTTAGTTGTTTGGCTAATTTCTTTCTATTTGTAGTAGAGACAGGGTCTCGCCCTTGCTCAGGCTAGTCTCGAACTCCTGAGCTCAAACAATCCGCCCGCCTCGGCCTCTCAGAGTGCTAG